CCTGCCACTCAAGCCCGCGACGGCCGGAGGCGCGCACGCGCGCTCCCCCACAGGCAAGCAATGGGCCAATCGGGACGGAGGATCGGCCTCCGAGCCCCGCCCCTCACGGTCTCGGACGCAGTAGCGCACTCAGTGCCCTCCCCCACCCCTCCCTTCAACCAATCAGGAAACGGCTCCGAGGGAGAGCGCGAGGTTTCCTTCCCCGCGCGCCCGTTCTCACCGTTAAACGGCTGCGTCTCGCGACAATCCCAAAGTGACCTTTCCCTCGCCCCGGGAGTTCAGCCCCAGCTAGGGGCGGTGGGAGGGGCAGGGCGGTCGCGGGGCGCCGAGAGGACAAAACGGACCTCGGCCCGTTTCGCGCGCATCTCCCCCCCACCCCCAGCCACTGCGCGCGCACCTGCCTCCCTGAGGCGCCCCTGCCTTCTCAGGGGCTCTCGCTAACCTAACAAGTGGCCGGGACGTCGTCCCACCTCCACCAGGACCCCCACCTTCCTGCTCTGGCCTTTCTGTCCCCTGCGCCTCCAGCTCTCGCGGGGAGAAGGGGTAAATTATTTGAGTTGCCGCTTCTCCTTTAAGAAAAAAAGGCCCCGTCCGTTGCCGGATGAAAGTCCCTGAAAAAATGGCGGCGGTAGGCTAGAGGCGGGGTTAAGGGGACAGCGCGGGATAGTCCGGTCGCGCACGCGCAAGTCTAATTTAGCCCGCGGCATGCTGGGAGACGAAGTCCTCTCCAGTCTGTGCTTCCAGGGAGAAGATGGGAAACTAGAGGCCGAGGGAAGTCTGGGAGTTTTTGCCCGGTTCACCACGGGAAAGGTAGTTTGCTAGTCACACTCCAGAGAGTTTACGTTGACATCCCAAAGAGGCACTGCTTCCGGGCCAGGCCTTCACGCCTGCGTACAACAGGCACAATAGTGAGCCAATTACTGGTTAGGGTTTCCTGAGAGGGCAATCTCCTTCACACTGTTAAACTGGCGTCTGTGTAAGCTCTTCGAAGTGCCCTCGTCACAGTCCCTACTTCGGTGTGGTCACTTGACGTCTCCTCTGCGACCTGCTGTCATTCTTCCATCTTGCGTTGACCCTCTCAGCCGTGAGACCCTGGAGGTCAGGGACGTTCGGCTTCTGCCACTTGAATTTCAATAAACCACGTAGGGACGAAAGGGAAGGTTGTTTCCTAGTAGGAACTGGGCAGCACAGACTGGCGTTGGCTGTGGTCCTTGAGCTGGAGAGAGAGAGGGTTAGCGTGACTCCCAGTGATTTATGCGGAGAAACTAGCGGTCTGTCGTGTTCTCCGCCTCAACGCTGCAGGCCTTTGCGGTTTGTAGATGTTTCTTCTGCACAGGAAGCAGAGTCAGAATAGCTGGTTTTGTCTAGCGTGTGCAACTAAGTACCTTCCTGATGGGTAAAGGGTGGAGAGAAGGTGGTTTCCATTTGTTAAGCCGCAGCTGGGGATTCTTCGGCCTCTTGTGTTGGTTTCCCTCTCATACATTGTGTCGGCATTTCTTTCCCTTTTATACATTGTTTCCATTCCTTAGTTTCCTCTTTATACATTGTAATCGGAGAACAACTTGCAAGGGGACTCTTTACCCCTTGCAAATGGAAACATCCCAGTTAAAGTCTTCACAAGAGGCGGAAGATACAAAGTTTGGAGATCTAATTCTGATTTTTACTTTAGTCATTAAACGACAAACATGCAGTGGAATCCATTGTTCTTTCCAGCATTTGGCTCACTTGCCACACAGATAAAGCAAAGTCTTTGATTCTTTCAAAGGACTAGTGTCATTTTCTGTTGTAAAAATGGACAGTATTGAGTAGGAACAAATTTTCAATCTGTGTTTGCAATGAGCACGTTTGGGACAGCACAGACATGCAATGACTGCTCACACAAAAAATACAAAAAACAACCCTCTTAAAAAGAGGTTCGAGAACGACTGACATTCCTTTAAGAAATGCTCACTGTACTGTCGATGAAAGAACATACTAAGGTAAAACTGGTTTATATAATAAGTAGCAAGGCTATCACTTTATTCTGTTCTTTTAGCCAGTTACTATTCCTTGTGCCTGTTTCACTACTGGTAAACACCAGGACAAAACCTACTTCACAGGACCATAATTATAGTTTTTTACGTACTGTCTTCTCAAGGTGGGCCTGTTATAAGTGCTCTCTTCCTTTTGAGATGAACTAAGACACAGGGAATAAAATAAAAGGTTTACATGGCTCATTTTTTTGAAGAAATTGTTACAAGGCTATGTGAACTGAACTGGGATTTTGGATAATTCAGATTTTAGCATCTATTATCTTAAATCTTCTGGATTGATTCGCCTGTATATGTTTGCGTTTTGGATAACTATATAATCCAGTACTAGAGTACTCAAAAGTGAACCCACTTCTGTTCAAGTTTAAAGAATTTGTGATCTGGGCTGGTGGATTGCTCAGTCAATGAAGGCACTTTGCTGACAAGTCTGATGTGGGACTCAGGTGGTAGAAGGAGAAAACTGACTCCCACAACTCATGAGTGTCAACAGACACACCCACACACTTGCACTCACACAAATACATGTAATTTTAAAGTTTTTGATTATAATTTGTGAATTAAATACTTGTAAGCGTTTACGATTTTTTGTAAGCACGTACATACAGCAGTTACAACTCATAATTCATGACTTCTGAATAAGAAAATAAAGAAAGTGAAATGCAGTTGGTGCTGTCTAATCAGAAATTTTAAGGAAGGGGCCATGCTTCCATGGTCCTTTAGTATGGGGGGGAGGGTTGGCAGTGGGCACTGGGATACTTGAACTTATAAAATCTAAGCCCTTGTATGTGGTATGCATTGTAAACTTTGAAACATCAACTTAAAGTCTTTATAACCACCCTGACCAATGTAGCATCAAAACCTCAGTCTTGCACAACCTGCCTTTCTCTGTCAGCACTATTTTAAAAACTGAGCTAATAGAAAAGAAAAGAAAAAATTTGACAAATCAAAAGTGAGGAAGTGCTAAGCAAATACAGGAACCAAAAAGGGTCATAGAAGCTGCTTTGCCCTGGCTCCTTCAGTTCCGTTGTGGTCCCCTTCTTCACCACACGCTGAAGCAGTTCACAGTCTTCAGGGGTAGAGCGCCGTGAGTGTAAGACAATGGAAGAGCTGGGTGAGTGAGGGGCTTTTGAAGATGGTCTAAGGAAGTGTGAACTTGGTTCTCATCCATCCCCATGTGTGATTAGGTGTGTTCTAGCTGAACTGAGGACAGTGCTAAAAGATTTGTTTTCACTTCTGTCCTCAGTTCGAACAAGCATGAAGCAGGAGAAACTATGATTGTTGGGGGAACTATGGGGTCTCTGCTTGCGGAGGCACAGTAGGCAGATAGTTGAGAGCTAACCACAGAACAGACACCCAGAGAAGCACTTTTAGAAGGAAAAGTAATTGAAAGTGCTTCCCCTCTTGGCAGCTACTGGAGATCATAGCGTGGCTCCAGAGCTAGGTAATTGTGAGAATATGATTTTGGAAGAAAAAGGAAACAAAAGTTGGGAAAGGGGAGGAAACAAGTGAAGAGAAGGAGGGAAAGAATAAAGAAGAAAACAGAGTATAGGGGAAGAACAATAAGATAACAGTGCGGAGTAAAAGGTCTGTAGAGGTTGCAGAAAGGCCAGAATGCTTTCATTTCTCTATAGTTTAAACTATAGAGGTATCATCACTGTAGTGGTTCTTGTTGGTTTTTTTTTTTCTTAAAGAAATCTTGAAGGAGCAGATTATTTGGCGAGAAATGCAGTCCTTTTCTCAACTCTTAGGTTATGAAAGCAATGTTGAAAGTGTCAGCAGCTACCATGCCCAGAGAAATCACAGATTTCAAAGCTTTGGAACTGTAAATCTGCCTCCTTGGGACTCATTTCATACACTTTGGCAATATTTATTCATTCACTTATGTATTTACAGCATCCTTAACATCAAGCTACTAACTTTCACCTCTTTTCAAGCTATATTTATTCAACATTGTGTGTTTGTAGCCTTGCAAAAAACTGCCAGCAATAACAAAATTCATAGCGTGTACATTTTGTTTATAAAGAATTATTTGAATTATACTTTTAAGGCTAGAGAAACAGAGAAAGGAAGAAGGTGAGAAGTTAATTATAGAAAAAAAGGGGGTGTTTAGTAAATGCCGAATTTTTTTGGTAAGAAAGTATATTTTGAGACTGTGGTAAAAGCTATATTTTGGATTGGTGTAGAATCCAGAGTCTTTTTCAATATGATATTGGTTATTTATTCTCTGAGAATTTGCCGCAAGCATATTCTGTGTGGGTATTGAGTGAATTTGCATTTCTCTATGGAATTTTACCATTTTGTTTTCAGAGAGGATTTTATTTTGCTTTGTTTTACGAATACGAAATTTTACTCAAATTTAGTTTAAAAAGTTAAAAGAACTAATACAGGGAAAACAAAATATGTTAATATAAGTATTATTTTTTTCTTTAAATAAAGGAAAACAAAATACCTTGTTCACCCTTAGAAGCATCTGACACGAAGAGAGCAATTAATGACAATTTTACAAGTTGCTCTCCTATGTTAGAAGTGTGTTTGCCTTGGTAGCCAATGGAGTAATATTTTTTTAAAGTATACTTTTCTGTTTTCTGAGGATGATAATTGTTTAGGGAAATCTTCCAAAATGTCAAAAGTATGCAGTTTTGAAAGCTAACTGTGTAGATTATTCAGTTAGCTACAAGTCAATGGACTGCTGATGGCTAAACGTCAACAGTCTCTTCAAAATGTCACCATCTGCGTGTAGTGTGGCACTGCCTCCCTGTAATCCCAGCTCAGAGGTGGAAGCAGGGAGCTCCAAAGCTTAAGGCTATTTTTGGCAATTAGAAAATTTGAGACCAGCGTAGACTATGTAAGAGCCTATCTCAAAAAGCCAGACATGGGAAGCAGAAGCAGTTAGATTTCTATGAATTTGAGGTTAGACTGGTTTTCATTCTAAGTTCTGGGCCATCTAGAGCTATACAGTGAGACCCCTGTCTCAAAAAAAAAAAAAAAAACCAACAAAACACAAGGCAGGTAGTATCTGCCAGGCACAATAGTTTATACCTGTGATCTGAGTACTGGGGCAGTTAGGTTGGAGAACTGCCCAGAGTTTGAGGCCAATCTGGGCTGGAGCTAGTTCCAGGTTTGCTTGGGCTAGAGCAAGCTACCTACCTTAACAAACTAGCTACCCGCAAAGATTTGGGGTGGAGTTTTCTTTCTACTCCTGTAGAAATTGTATCAAGGACAGGTTGACTCAGATGGGCAAATCCTCCCTCTCTGCAGTACTGCTTTGGATGTTAGTAGCATGCCTTCACCTAGGTTTTACCTAAATCTTTGCAATTCAGGGGTGAGATCATTCTAACCTGTGGAGACCCACAGAAGAATTCACTTGTGGGTGAAAGTTGAATTTAACTCCGCAGGTCAAGGACTAGGAAGATGAGCTGCAGTTTTCAGTCCATTTCACTCGCCCCAGTATCTTATATTAGTCACACCAAAATTAGTCATCCAATTTAAATTGGAGAATCTGCACGAAGCCGAAAGAGTAGACTCGGTATTGGTGAAATGTGCGCCCATTGAAAATAGGAAGTGAGAGTCCTGTTAACTCAGGAGCAGAGAGGAGAGTTTTAATAGATTTGGTGAGCAGATGGTTCTAAAGATTACTTCATACCTTTGCTGAATGATACTCTGTTTCATACTCTTTAGTATAAATTGATTCTATTAATCCAGGAAGGCCTTTGACTTTTGGATCAAAGATTAGAAAATAGAAAAGAGAACGACCCTATTTTAACAGATGGAGAATAAAATGTTGGAATTCTGAAATCCAGAGTTCAGTCTGGCTAGTAAAATTAAAATTTTTGATTTGTAGTTTTGTTTCCTTAAACTCTTTCATTGTAAAGAATTTAAAAATATACAGAAATAGAGAAAATATTTTAATGAAATCTAAGCTTTCTCAGTTTCAAAATCATTAGCTCTTGACAATTTTATTTAATATCATTTTCAAGAAATTTCAGACATTTAATTTCTTATCTGTAAATATTTCAGCCTTAATCTATTACATAAATATGTATATATTTATAGAAACAGCCATATTAACAGTATCACACCCACAATAGCTAATAATCTTAATGTTGGTTCCTCAATATCATGAAATAACATTATCATACCTAAAATTAACTGAAATCACTTTAATGTTAATATTTTCAAATTCCTAAAATGCTAGCATTTAATATTATTGACTATGCAGTGTTAAATATTTTTTAAATTTTTTAAATTTCATTTTTTGATCATCTGTCTTTTTCTGCATGTAAAACTCATGCTGAGTACTGAATTCTGAATTGCCAAAGAGGATTTATTTTTGCACTTGCCATTGAGCTTTTGATCACAAGTTTGGCAAAATCTCACACAAATACTGTCAATCAGTATTATTGATTGATCTAATTTTTAAATTAAAGTTATGACCTAAATTGAAATTAGTTACATGTCTCCTAGGTCTCTTTTGTGTACCTCTGCTGTCTTTTTTTCCCCTCTTGTTTGATTATTTGTTGAAGAACAGTCTGGTCTAAATAGATTAGCTAGTTCAGTTCAGTTATTTCTTTCTTTCTTTCTTTTCTTTTCTATTCTATTCTTTTTTTTTTTTTTGGTTTTTCAAGACAGGGTTTCTCTTGTACACCAGACTGACCTTGAACCCACAGAGATCTACCTGTCTCTGTCTCCAAAGTCCTGGGATTAAAGGCATGCACCACCACGAGCTCAGTTTGGTTATTTCTAAAATAGTGTACTAAGGTCAAAATTTTGAGATACAGATGATTGAGAAAGTTCTACAGAATATTTCTTTTGTGAAAACTGATTACATCTTCCTTATAATATTGAGAAATACTGATCCTTAATCTGGGAATGTGGCTTAGTGGCACGTTAACATACTTTTGTCTAATATACATACGTTCCTGGTTCAGCATTGTAAAGAGGGAAGACCGTGTGGATAAGGCAGTTTTTGAGCTGCTCATGGTGGCACATTCATGTAATCTCAACACCCAGGAAGAGGAGGCAGGAAGATTGTGAGTTTTAGGCCATCCTAGATCACTGAGTGATTTGCAGGCCAAGTTGCTTTATGACAGCTTCTCTTAAAAACTAGACAGAGTAAAACCCCGTTCTCTCTAAATATGAAGAACATGTTTTTTTAATGGCATGTTAAGGTAATTTTCTTTATATGAGAATTTCAGAGCAAGGCAGGTTCCTAGAAATCCCACAATCTAATGCTTTGCAAGTTTATAAAAATTAATGTATTTTAAAAATCCCCTAAAGTTCTAAAAAGGACACTAAAATATCTTGACTTGCAATTTGAAAAATACTCTTCTATCCAATTGTGTGATTATTTAGATGAAGAGAACATGCAGTGCTTAAGATGACTCAGACCATCTAATGATGATGGCAACTTCAACTTACAAGTTTACAACACTGATGTTGTTAAGGTGGTGTTCATGTAGCTCCTCTTGGAGATCTGCTTCTGTGCTCAAGAGCCTGTGAGAGCTACACTCTCTCTTTCCTGGATATGAAATGAGAACAGAAATGTCCTCCATCTCAAAGTGTTAGGATAACACTGTTCATACACTGTGATTAGCATTGGCTAATTTTCATTAATTGTTATGATTAATGACATCGCAAAAGGAAAGTACTAGCAAAATGCTTATGAAGTCTATTGGCATTTTCCCAAGAAAACTGCGAAATAAGTCTCAGTTATTTGGATTGTTACATCTTGCTTGATTGTGAAATGCTTTAGTTACTCTTTTTTTCCCCCCAACCTCTTTCTCCTTTACATCCAAACAAACAAACCACCATCACTAACAAAAACCCAATAATACTTAACAGTTTTTTGGTTGTTGTTGTTGTTATATTCTTGGGCTAATCTTTGAGATATTAGACTATATAAAATCAGGAGTAATGTTTTGTCTCCCTACTGTGCTTGGGATAAATTGTATGAGAGAATAAAAGAAAAAAAAAGAATGTTTGACTCTTGGTATATTTTGAAAAACCTTATTTTTTCTAATATGAAATACATAATTGTTCTTTTTTTGGTGTGCGTGTTTGTGTGTGTGTGATTTACTCAACTGGTTAAAAACCAATACCTAGAAGTTAAATTGTAGAGAGTCTATGAAATTGAATGCAATTATAGAAAATATCAAACAGAACCTAATGTAATTTCCTCAGATATCCCCTAAGACATGTCACACTCCTGAAGTGAGGTATGGAGGGAGGGAGTGATTTACAAATTTTTATCATCCAAAACAAGAAGAAAGTATTTAAGAAGAAAATAATTCTGGAGACTCACAAATTCTACATTATGCTCCTTTTGTTTCTTGTGATGTAGATGCCTTATTGGAGGAATTGGAACGTTCTACCCTCCAGGACAGTGATGCATATGCAAACCCTGATCAGCAATCCAAACAGGAGAGCAAGCTTCCCAAAAGTCCAAAAACCTTGTCATCTCAGAGTCACACAAGTCCCTTGAAGGTAACATTTCATCTTTTGTAGTATTGTAGACAATATTTGATTGCACATCTGAAAGTTAATTTTATCCCACATATATTAAAGGAAACGAATATATTCAGGATAGAAGAAAGTATCATTTTAATATTAATTTAAAGATAGTTGATTTTTGGAAAGAGGAGAATTGAGGAAATGATCAAAGAATATGTCTTTGAGTTTTTTTCTTCTAGTAAAGGTACAGTAGCTTAATATCGTCTCATTCATGCTGGTTACTGTTATGTTGCTCCCTGGCTACTAGAACTGCCATGTTACAGCGTGACTAGAGTCACACTCAGTAAGATCAGAGATCACTGGGTAGTTTAGATAAATCTTTGGGGGGTGTGTGTGACTAGGGGGGGTGTGTGACTGTACAGCAGTTACTTCACTGATCTTATTTTCTGCTGAATAGATTCAGAAATTGTTTTCATCTAGCTAGGTAGTGAAGCTCTTAGCAGGCACCATGAAGAAACTAAATGCTCCAAAGATGATTTATTTTAAAGCCCAGAAATCTGGTGTGTTAATTTATGATTAAGCGTTAAAGCTATCAAGTTTGTATTTGCTGAGGTGTGTATTCTCTTCCTTTGGATCAGTATGCACATATTTTTATTATAATTAATGCTTGCTTAATGAGAATGCAATTAGTATAAGAGACACTGAGTGGATGTTCTTCATAGCTGGTATTTATAAACTATGATGTTCTGATTCCTTCTTGGGTACTCATATAGAATGAGTATCCCAGAACTGGAATTTGAATGCAGGAATAGGTAGTTTCCAACTTCTCCTGAGACTGCTTACTGACTCTTTATTAGAGAGTGTTTGTTTGCTGAAAGTCTTAAACTACAACCATAGCATCCTAATGTTCTCCTGCATAGATACTTGCACTTTATTATTTCATAGGAACCTCATAGAGCCTTGTCTTAAGAGAGACCATGACATTCTTGTACCTTCACTATGGCAGTGATTTCCTATCATTGGCAGTAGAAGCCACAATGTTGGCACTGATCTTTGTGGATGACCACATCTTGGCCTGCAATAGACCTTAGCTTTTGCTTATTTTCCTGGCTTCTCATTAATTTCCTTTAATGTAACATTTTCAGCTGTTTTTTGAAGTTTTATTATTAGTATTTGCATTAACGTATTAATATGATTATGACTAATATCAAAAGGTGACTAATAATGACTCTTTCTGGTCTTGTTCAGACAAAACCTCAGTAACGTCACCCTTTCATGGCAGTGTTCATGAAGTCTGAGCATGCAAACATAAGCTAACTTCTGTGATTTAGGTGGTAGCAGAAGAAGTCTGCTGACCACTTGGTATGCTGCCAATCATATCCTGCTATGGTCCATGTGATGTATACATGGAACATTTGGGTACAGTAAATAATAAGGGAATCATGCTTAGTGACATAAAGTTGATGTTCAGAAAATAGAATTTAGTATTCTGTCATCACAAATACTATATTGTGAACGTTATTAAAGCATTTTTTATTTGTAAATTCCTCAGTGTTTTATTTTTGTTAGCACTTAAGAAATCTTAATAGTACTCCTTTGTCAGTTGGCTTAAAACACAGCAGAAACAAAATCTTTAGGTTTTATTTCCTCAAAGCAGTTATGAGGACTGTGTAATTTGCACAAAGCATCTTTGATGTTTTACAGTCACTGTGGGAATGGGGTGGAGCTGTTACTGTTCTTCTAAATATCAGGAGACACAAAAAAGGTGAAGCAGAATTAGCATGTACTTTAGATTTAATACTGAATTTTCGAAGCATGCTTCTGAAGATGACAAATCCTGCACAGCTGCCGGAAGTGTATTTGCAGATTGCTGTGCAATACACATTTCCACTTCTAGCAAACCACTCCTGTAAACATTTTTTTGTTTGTTTTCAGTTTTACATTTTCATCTGCTTACAAGTGGAAGGGGTAGATTATATTTGAAAACCTTCAAAAATATCAGTCTTGAGTCACTGTCATTAGAGGTGTCGGTCAGAAAATTTGAGCTCAGCTCTTTTATTTATTTTTCACTCAACATACAGCATCAAAATAAAATCCTTGGAAGCTAATTTTCCTGTTAAAAATAAAACAAGCAACATTATTAATGTCAATACAGTGAGTTGGAAAAGTATTGAAGATAACAAAGTTCTGGTAAGAACAAGAAACAGACTGTTAGTAGAATGCAGCATCATGGTAATTTCATAGCAGAAATGAATTTGGAGCTTGTTGTGAAGTGCACAGAATCCTTGATTTCATCAAAACAAACAACAGCATTCTGCCTATTAAAACCAAAATTATCAAGATTGGCAAATGTCATGCTAGTCGTTTTTTTCTAGGAATGACATGAAATTTGAGGCAACATCTAACTACAACTATATTAATTTTCTCGATGTGTTGGAAATGTTCTCTGGGTTTATAATATCCCACCCTCATTTCATAAAGCATAAGGTACACTGTGTGAAAAATCAGCTGGAGAGCTGTAATCAAATTATTCGATCAATATAAAATGAAAAAGTGCTTCTCAACAATCTACAATCATGTTCATTTGAGTTTAAGAAAAGGAAGCAGCTCCGTTTTTTTTCCCTAGCTTATACCAAGAGATGAGAGCTCATGTGGCTCAATTGTTTAATTTGAAAATGTGATTCCAAAACATCTTGACTTTGATAGATTATTGGCTTTATATTCTTGGATAAATTTATAAACCAACATGTACTAATATAATGGAAGACAATGATTTTAGTCTTACCCATTCCTTACAAAATATGTTAAAAAGAATCACAAATAGAGACAACTTCAAAGTATGGTATTGTTAGAATATTAATGGAGAAAGATGCTGTGAATAGAGATAGCTAAGCAAACACACATGGGAATATTGTCTTGGACAAAGAAGAAGGGAGAAAGCCTGGGGGCGGGCAAGAATACAAGAGAAGTAATGGGATGGAAAGAAAACAAATATTTCATTTTACATATTTATATCACTGATGTATTCTATATATGATTTAAAGACAAAAGAAAGATTTGTGGAGTGGAATTGACCAGAGGGAGGGTGAAGTGGACACAGGAGGTGGTGGGAAGGCAAATATAAGCAGAGTACATTAATATACATGTATGAAAATGTCCTAGTGAACTCCTTTATTTTGTGTACTAACAAAATTAATTAAAGGGTATTTTCCTGAATGTATTTACACATTTTAGCAGAGAAAACAATTTAGAACATGTTCCACAGAGCAGAATGTGCCCTGAACGATCAGATTCATCAGCATTAGAGAGATCACGTCTCTACACTATGCCCCAGAGAAAAGCCCAAGTTAAAGGTAGCAGCAGTCTCTAGTCTATTAACCTAAAATGTAGCTTTGGAAAACATTATAAATTAAAAAATGACAGCACTACATATTTTGTTTTTTTTAAAAATCAACATTTTAAAGGAAAATTCCTAAATCAAAATATTAGAACCAACAATAGCCAAGTTAACAATTAAAGTATGTGACTATATGTTGAGAGTAATTTTTTTTATGCTGTTTAAAATGTTTAAGTAAAAAAAACACTAAAGACTGGCCGCAAGTTTGCCATCTTGCCTCAGTTTTTCAAGTGCTGTGGTTAAGGCATAAAGGCATGAGCCACCACACCCTGACTTTGGTTAGAATGGTGTTATAGGTCTACCACTACAATACAACCAAGTTGTTTGCTAGGAATATTACTTCATTAGAAAACAATGAAACATATATTTGCAATATCAGTACTAATGAAAATGAGACAGGAGCTTGAGTTCTGAACTAGATTACAGTCTCTCTTTCTCTCTCTTTCTCTCTTTCTCTCTCTCTCTCTCTCTCTCTCTCTCTCTCTCTCTCTCTCTCTCTCTCTCTCTCCCTACCTTCCTCCCTACTTCCCTCCCTTCATCTTCTGTCCCCTCTCTAAAAATTTAAATGTATTAAATTAAATACATTGAATTAATTCTGAATCCTCCTTTCCTTTATAGGTATTCAGTTTGAGTTGAATAAATGTATGATTACCACTTGCAGATCTAGCCCCCTTCCCTGCTTCACTGCACAGGCTACACAGGCTTCCATGTTGCTCTACAGCCATTACCATTTATTCTTTGCACATGGATAACAGTACCCTGATACCTGATTGCTTTCCTTGCTTCCTGTAAGTCATTGCTCAGTGTCGTCTACTAAGTGAGATTTTCTCATCATTGCATTTATAACCACTACTATCTCCACATTCTTATTTGTTACTCTTTGATTAACTTTTGTATCTATTTCTTGCCAATAGACTATAAGCTCTGGAGTATTTAGTTTTTGTTTTCTTAAGTTGGGTGTCAAGTAAGCTAGGCTGACTTCAAGCTCACTGTGTAGGGAAAAATAAGTTTAAATTCTTGATCCTGTGTCCAGCTCCCAAGTGTTGGCAGACCAGTATTACACCACACCAGGTTTATCCAGTGATAGGATTAGAACCCAGAGCCTCGTAGATGCTAGGTAAATACTCCTCCAACTGAGCTACATCTACATTCCCCAGATCATTTGGTTTTACTGTGATTGTTTGATTTTGTGGTTTGGGGTATAACACCCTAGCCCTGGAATATGTCAGTTACTCAGTAGGTATCTGTTCAGTGAACAAATAGTTGAATTTCTATCTAGCCACATCTTTGGTTGACACATTATTACTTTTCATAAGGCAAGCTTGTGTTAGAGCCTTCCCCTAGGCACCATTGTGTTTAAAGTGCTTTTCCCTGAGCCATCATATTCTATGCTTCCTATCTGAGGATGGTACATCTCTTTATAGCTTTGTTTTTAAGGCAGGGAGGGTAGTACTTGTTCAGCTGCCAACTTCTGTTTATAATTTGGTTTTGCTCCACATTATGGAAGGTAATCCTGCCTTTGGAAACATTTAAACAATATATGAGTTATTTTTATTGATTATTATTATTATTAGCTTTGAGATAAGGTCTTGATGTTGTTTCCAGACTAGTCTCATACTCATGCTTCTTTTTTCTCAGCCTCCCAAGTAGCTTGAATTACAAGTGTGCATCACTATGCCATTCTAGTTATCTCCTTTAAAAACTAAAAACCTCCCTCCCTCTCTGTTTTGATAAGCAATAACATTCTAATACATATGTCATTCTTTGCTCTTTTCTGTCATGTATGTCTTAGGTGCAGCTTGTGTATACAACCAATATTCAGGAGCCCAATGTCTACAGGTATGCTTTTGTTTGTAATAAATAATTTCAGAATTAAAAATTATTCGGTAATTTATTAAAAATTACAATATTTTGGTTTGTAAAGATTATTATTGGACATTCTCCTTAGTATGTCTCTTGCCAGAGCCTTTCCACAGAGTCAGAACCCTTCTAAGCTGACTTGGCAGCTTCTCAATATATCTTTCCTCCAGACAGGTGTCCAGACTCGGGGGGGGGGGAGGGGCGGAGCGTCTCTATATTTTCCTTACCTCCTGAAAAGAATAAAAAGTCCCAGAGTCAGAACAGATGTTTTGACACTTCAGTTCCACATACCATGCAACAAGTGCTCAAAAGAGAAAATGCACCTGAAAAAACTTAAGCAAGGGTCCAACAATGTCAATGCCAGGACCAAGGCTACATGAAGACAACAAGGGTCGGTCCATCACAGACAAATGAGTGCACACTTCTACTTTCTAGGTCTACTTGAAATTTATTTATGTGGTAGAAGGGTATCCCTTTCATAAAATGCTGTGAGATATCTTTCTGTACTTTGTGAATATGCATTGCTTTCAATAAAGTTTCTTTGGCCTATTATAAGACAGGATTGAGCCAGGTAGGAAATCCAAGCAGAGATACAGAAGAAGAAGGCAGAGCCTGGGAGACTCCATCCAGCTGCTCAAGGAAAAACATTCCAACAGACTGGTAATGCCACAGTCATATGGCAATACTTAGATTAATAGAAATGGGTTAATTTAAATGTAAGAGGTAGCTAATAATAAGCCTGAGCCACTGGCCAAACATTTATAATTAATATTAAACCTCTGAGTGGTTATTTTAAAAGTGGCTGTGGGACTGGGTGGCACAGAAAGCCTTCATTTACAGTAAAAGCTAGACATGAAATAGATTAGTTTGTTAAATCATTTTTTTAGTCAAAGCAGAATCAGTAGTTAAAACAAACAAAAGACAAAAAGGCCACCTCTTTTGTGTCTCTCTATTTATTAAAAAAATTAGGCTCTCTTTTAAGGATTTGTGCTTGGCACAGAGTGCTACACTTTATTATTTCATAATTATAGCACATAGAGCACACATGGAAGGCTAAATCAGGGAAATGACACGAGGTACATGAAGCCATTTAAAACTTCTCAGTTGAGGTCACTTTTTTGTTGTTTTGTTTTTAAAGACAGGGTTTCTCCGTCTTGCTTTGCAGCCTGTCCTGGAACTCATTTTGTAGACCAATTTGGCCTCCAATTCATAGAGATCTGCCTGCCCCTGCCTCCTGAGTGTTGGGATTAAAAGTGTGAGTCACCTTTTACTGTGGTGGGAGTGAAGCTAGTTTATTAATACACGGTACCTATTTATTCCAGCTCTAGGAAGTGGTGAACACTTCTCCATCGTCTTTACTCAACTGTTGCAGTTAAAAAAACAAACAACAAGAAAAGCAGTGCCTGTAAAAAGAGGCCCTCAGCAAATGTGTATTTTATTAAGATATCAATAGATAGACATGTGAGTACTCAAATATGTAACATAAAAATCAGTCCAAACAGCAGCCGTTTTCCAGTATGTCTGGCATTGTAATCAATTATTTGATCATGACACTATCTTATGGATATCTCCCCTTATAGCGTTGTGCCTCTGGCCTCCATTACTTTTTTTTTTTTTTTTTTTTTGGCCTGTGCTCTGTTAGTTAGGGCCAGGACATTTATGTAAACGTCTTTTATTTAGCTTGTTTTTCTTGATTCTTGCTCTCTCCAAGCTTATAGCTTATTTTATATACAAGCTGACACTAACAGACCACTCCTCAACATACACACACTAGTCAGATATCAGAGATAGCCTGGCTGCAAGCATAAATCATTGACTGTTCATCAGGTATGTGGTGTAGAACCTCCCCCTTTCCCTGAAATGTACAAGGAACGCTTAGTGTTATATTAGACTTGAACTCTCCTCAGAGCCCCACTGTGCTGCCTTCTGTCTGTCTGTCTATGGCATTAATGCATCCCTTAATGAATCTCATATGCAAAAAGCAGTTCATCTTAGGATCCCTCTTGAGTCCCAATGCCTAACCTTTCATGTTTTAGGGATCTGGCTCTGGTGATTGGATTTTCCAGGCTCCAGGACAGTTAGCTGTCATGGGCAGAGACCAACAAGAAATGCTGGAGAGAATGGCAAGGTGCATAGTAGGAAAGTGCAGGGTACTTGCCCTGGTCCTGGTCCTTGACTTTCCAATGTTTCTATCAGCAGCTGCATCTCTGTCAGCTGGAGCATGACAGCCCGCTGTCCTTCTAGTGCACTGAACAGAGGCCTTGGGCTCTGATGATAATGTTATGCATTTTGTTCTTTTAGCTTTGGGGTGGTAATGACTTGCAGCTGTAGGTTTCTGGTAATCCCAGTGTCTTCTGTTTTGCTTACTAGCTCTCTCACTATCTTTATAATTGATTTTCTATACAAATTCCATTTGTTTACTCAAACATGCTTATGTTTTCTGGATTGCAGTACTTTGGTATACTATCCATTACCAAGCCATACCTACAATGGATGTGTGTATGGAGGATGATAAAATCCATCCATAACTATGTGAGACTTTTATAAATTTCCAAGGTAGTTGTAATTCCAAACCATGAACAGACTGTTAAACTGAGAAGCTAGATTCCCACATTTGTTTCCACCATATACTCTTGCTTACATAGATGAGGTGCACATTACTCTCAGAAATCCTTGAAAGTGTGCTTTGTAGTGACTGTGACTGCAGCACTGGGATGTTTCTAACTACTGCACATCAATTACTAATCAATATTGCAGTAGTTTATAAGTATATCTATTACATGAGGAAAAGTAGCAGTTCTGGTAATGAGGAGGAGGAGGAGTTCATGAAATACAACAGAGTTAAACAAAGGAAAACTCAGGATAATGAAGTTCCTTTGTTGGGAAGTATACATTCTGTATATTCCTTCAAATATGTGTGTGTTGTGATCTGTATTATTAAAAATCTGAATCACAAAGTAACTTGTGTTTCATGACATAGCAAAGCACTTTTGCTATATTTAAAAGGCCAGGGTAAGATCAAATGTGTCTAATGTGAAGTTTCTTTTAAAGAATATTTCCTATAATGGGCCTCCAATTTGTAGTCATTCAGAGTTTTCATTTCCTTTGTAGAATAGTATACTGCTTAGTCAACTAATGTTAGAGAATCTTTACAATGCCCCCTTCTCTTTATATGCTGTACATGGATTCTAGTTTAAAAGACTGTGAGCATTTTTTTTTTAACATGAGCATATTTTCTCCAACTGTAAGGTGAGGAGGCTTTACGAATAAGCAGACCCAGATAAAAAGTGACATTTGGAGCTGGGGAGATAGCTTAGCTGGTGAAGTGCCTGCCAAGCAAGTATAAGACTACCAGGGGATTTTTCATATTGCTCTAGACTTTGCTTCCTAAATTTAACAACATATTTTAGAATTATGTTTTAATTTATCTAAGTCAATAGGTGCATTTTTTTTCAGAATAGAATTGGATATTTATTAGTTCAGTTATGGAATGGGAAGGAAAAAGGGGAGAAGGGGGTGAAGAGAGGAGATAGAGAGAGAGAGAAAAGGAAGAGAGAAATGGACAGAGAGAGAGACGGGGGGAGCGGAAAATGGAACAGCGGTGCATTTCTTTTAGCAATTGCATGCTATTTTGTAAATGGATGAATCATAATTTGACTATTTTACTTATTTGCTCAAGAATCCTGTATTGTAAATGTTTTTTTTTCCCCGACCAACAAGCCTCTCTGCCAACACAATAATCCCAGTTAGATCAAATCAGACTGAATTAAAAGTTGCCCAGATTTCATGAATGCCAGTGCTTCTGGGTGGCCCCTGGGAAAACACATAGGGGGCAAAAGGAGAACCAGAATGACCACCGGAGAGGGAAAAGGGGAGACCACGTGTTCATTCTCGGAGGGGCAGTTTAAATGGCCTATGGAAGTCGTCTTGACCCTCCCTGGGGAGGGGTTACCATTTGGCGGGCTTTCTCAGAGGTGAAGTTTGGACTGAGGTGACTTCCAGGGGAGGGGGCTTTGACATGGAACGTTCCACCCAACATTTCAAAATGGATGTCGGGGTCTGTGGTGAAGCCCCCAGCCAAACATTCCAGAGTGTTTTGGATAAGGATGTTAGGGGCAGAGGTGACCAAACATTCCAGACTCTTTTTTTGGCAAAGGGTCAATGGCTCAAGGCTCAAGTCTGGCTACTTAAGGCGGACATGGGCAACGTGGGAGAGGGGCAACGTGGGAGAGGAGAGAGTTGGGAGTTGGTGGGTTCATGCTCAGCAAGAGGTGTAACTGGAGCGGCATCTGGATTCCTGTCATCCTGGAGACCTCAGGCAGCTGTTCTTTGAGGTATTCTTACTCTTTTAGTTGGTGGAAACTGAGATTTTGTTAAGTTAAAATACTCCACTAGATTTTATCTATTAGGATATATTGTGGGTAAGAAATGACTGTTTATGGGCCTAAATATAGCCTCAAACAAATTTCAGTTAGGCTCTGGACCTGTAACATTCCAACTTCTCCACAATCATTTAAGTTCAAGTCAATTAACAAACCTTACAGATTTAATTGAAGGCATAATTTCCTTTTGGGAATTTCCATCCATATCTTTAATAATAAACATTTAAGTTCATCCTTCTTAAACCCAATTTTAAAACGTGACTCATGTTTCCATGGTTTGCTTTTTTAACTTATAGAAGTTTTACAAACATTTTGAATATGATTTACTATAATTTTTGATATTAGGTTTTATTACTATATTTCCTTTTTTGTTTTGTTCCAGAGGATTTTAAGCAAACCTTTTCTTTACTTTTAAATTAATTTTTATGTATATGGATATTTTGATGCATTTATGTATGCGTACCATCTGTATTTCTCATGTTCATGGAGGCCAGAAGAGGGTGTTCGAGCCTTTGAAACTGAAGTTACAGGGCATTGTAAGCTGCCATGTAGTTTCTGCGAACCAAACCTCAGTCCTCTGCAAGAAGATTGAGTGCCCTTGACCTCTGAGCTCTCTCTAGTTCCCATCCTTTTAATTTTATTCCCTTGTTTAAAATGCCTTAATGTCTCTATTTTTAAATTATCAATTTCCTTCTAATATTTTAGTGTTTTAACACATATAAATATTCAGTTCCACTTACTTACTTGTTCATGTATTTGATATGTTGAGGGCTATAAGTTTATTTTGTTCTACATAGATTTTCATTCATTAAGTTCATTAAATATGTTTCCAATGCTTTGAAATGCCTCATGCAACATATTGTATCTTTACTGGTGTAGGAGTCTGCTTCTGGATTTTTTTAGTCTACTTTCCTTTGATCTGTTTGTTGTTACCATTGCGCACATTTAATTATTGTCATGTGTAAGCATTGCATGCTAATTGCTTGCTCCTAATTACTTTTATTTTATAAAATGTTATGTCTATGGGGCAAACTTTTCCTTCTGAAATTTGTTTTTGTTTTGTTACTTTTGAGATAGTGTCTAGTATCTTTGGCTGGTTTGGAACTCACAGAGACCTGCCTGCCTTTCTGCCTCACAGTACCAAGGATTATAGAAATGTGTTACCATGCCCAGCATTTTAAACCTTAAAAGGTTTTTTATTGGGTATTATAGTCTATAAATTTTAATATAAACATGTTGATAGCTCAAATAATTCTTCTGGGATCTTTATGGAATTTTATTGAATTTGAAATGGGAAAGTGATACATATTATACATCTCCATTTATGTGTCTTCTTTTTGATTTATTGTACATACTCAATGTTTACAAAATAATATATAGGATACATATATTTAGTGAATGCTTCTTTAATGAAGTGTGGCAATGTATTATAATGAAAATATCACTTATTTTCTAAGAGATTGGAACTTTTGCTGAATTTTACAGCGAGATTTAATAGTAGACGTTGGGGTCACTTAAGACTAAGACTACTATCCTGCTGTATAGTCAGCTTGTTTGTTTAGCATATTTTTACTTTAAAGAGAACAACCAACCTTAGTGGCCTTGAATTTACCATGTAATCAACTTTGGTAACCCATGCCAATGCATGGCTGTAATATTAAATTATGTACTTCTGACCTAAGCATAATGCATGTGTGTGTTATGATAATCATTTGCTAAAAGCAGAAAAAAGCCAATAGCAGCCTTATAAAACGAATACCCACCATAAATATTGAATGAAACATATGGGTATTGCTTGATAACATCGGTTTGTTTATTAATCATCTGGGTCAGTTGGGGTCAGTTTGAGTTAGTAACTTAATACTTTGTAAAACTCTGTTAAAGATTTTGTAAATTATCCCTCATTCTTTGTTCATGCAGTGCTTTCTGTGTTGTTCAAGAAGTACATATCAGAAGCCCTTTATTAGAAATGGTGGAAGACACAAGAAGACCAATGTAGAGGATTCAAATGTAGGCTCGCACTTGATCAAATGACACCAATGAGAAGTGCTTTTTTGATTTCCGTCCTTAATACAACACTGATGAGTTATTGGTGACTTTGAGGTTATTATTAATGTGCTTAAGCTTATATAATGAAGCAGATGAACAAAAATTTAAATTTAGTAGTAATCTGATATATGCACAATTTTATTATCTATAAACCCCAACTTGTACATTAGATATCTAGACTCATTTCTGCTACTTTGCAACCTCTGACCTATATTTCACCTCTTGTCCACTTTCTCACTCCTAAAAAACATTGTTTTTTTCTATTATTTAATCTTTTTCCATTCTCTCTCTCTATATATGCTTATAAGTACAATCATGTGATGTTTTATGTTTTACCTTATTTCCTTTTGTACAATGTCCTTTAAGCTTATCTATGTTGAATCAAATATCAAGATCTCTTTCTTCTCTAAGATTGAATGATATTCCAGTGCCTATGTCATCCATAACAGTTTAACTTTCCTAATTTATTCATTCATTCATACAGAGAGACTTTGGTTATTTCCATATCTTGACTATGTAAATAACACTATAGGGAACATAGAATCACAGAATTTTTTATAGTATATTGGTTTTATTTCCTTCACAGAAGAGGGACTGCTGGGTCATATGGTAGTTCTAGTTTTCATTGTTTTGGAAAGCCTTCATATAGTTTCTCAAGGTGACTACACCGACCTGCAGAGCACTGGTAGATTACATTGCTTTCCTTTCACTACTCCTTTGCCAGAATTTGCTTCATGCTAGGATGAGTGTAAAGTGGTATCTCGTAGTAACTTTGATTTGGATTTTCCTGATAATTAATGAAGTTGAGCACCTTTTTTGTATACTGGATGACTGTTAGTTATTTTTAGAGGAGTGTTTATTCAGGTTTCCTGGTTACCTATACAACTTTTTATTGCACAGGACTTATAATTTTAAAATTTTCTATTAAAATACTAGCTATGGCTTTAAAGCTCTGTTCTAGGGTTGGCTGAAATCTAGAAATTGGAGACATGTCTAGCACTTTCCTTCATACACTTGAGAACAAATAGGTTATTTATTTATTTAGGTGGTCAAGAAGAAACAGATACACAATGCAGAGAGGCCTTATTTAAACATTTAGGGTAGCAGCTATTTCTAAAATACTCCCTGTCTCTGATTTTTAGATTCATGTCAAATAGGTTAGTAGGTAAAATCATATCCTCTGTTACTTATATGGGACTTAATATTTATTTGAGTTTTTATATGTTAATATAACTTCTTTTCTTCTCTCTGTAGTGAGGTCCAAGAGCCAAAAAAATCAGTACCACCTCCTAAAACCTCAGCAGCTGCTCAGCTGGATGAGCTCATGGCCCACCTGAGTGAAATGCAGTCCAAGGTGGGTACAGTATGGAACATAAAGTCTGGGTTCCAGAGAGGCACCGAGTTAGCATGGTAGTGGTCAGTCTTTTATCCCCTGCTTGGGAATTCTAAGGTGGCATTCATTTTCCTAGATTAAATTTAATTCAGTAGAGAAAATCATTTGGACATTAAAGATAACATGGTATAGGACTTGATATGGAAGAGATTGAGGTGCTTGTGGTGTAGCCAGTCATAAAACTCTGAAATGATTTTAGAATAAAAGACTGGTGATTTTCCAAAATGAGTGGAGCAAAGTCCAAGGATTTTGAAAGGCTAAGCAGATTTTGTCAGAGCAGTTGTGACAGGATTTAGAATGGACACAGGATGATAAGGGTTGGAGAGATCCCTGAGGGCAAAGGCTCCCCTGAAGGCATGATGATGCAGAAGGTCTAGTAAAAACACGTGCCTGAGCAGGGCAGAGGTGGGCGGGCAGGCTGAGACACAGAGTGAGTGAGGCCAAGGTAAGAAAGATGAGTTTTGAGACCATACTGAGATAAAATTAGCTCCTTTTTCTTGTCTGTAGCATGAAAATGGCAAACTGACAGAGAGCAGGAATCGATCGGGAGTCGTAAGCATTTATCAAGGACATAGATCTAGAATCCTTAATACAGACAATCCAACCTTTTAAAATCTGGTTGAATGTTAAGATGCATACTCATGAAATCAGTATGAAATATTTAAGGCAGACTGTTAAAATGTGCATGATGAAAGAGTACAGGGACTGTATCAGCATGAGACTCCCCATGTCACACATGGTGCCTAGCACACAGTGAGTAAGTAATACATGATTGTTGGAGGGACAGATGAATAAATGTCACAAACAAGGTTCTCTATTGGCTAATACTCTGTAGTTAGCTAACTAACATCTACACTAAAGTTGAGTGTATTGATTTGTTCTGCCTACTTGATGATTCTAGAAAAACAATCATATTAGGAAATTTATGTTGTTTTATTCTTAAATTGTGTCTTGGTGTGTTTATATTTTAACTTAAAATGTATGTTTTAAAACTAAACAATGCGTATACATTGCACAAAATCGAAAGTACAAAAATGTTTGTAGTAAACAAGGGCCGTCATTTGTCCCAGATAGTCCTATATTGCCCCCTGCAGGTCATCAGTATGTACTGCATTTTATGTATGTATCTGGAACTATTTTGGAACATGCAAACAAAGAGACATAGATGTAGAGAATATATTGTTATATTTTACTTAGTTATTTTTCAGATATAAAGCTAATTATTTTTGATACCTCTGGATATTGATCTTTTGGATAGATACCTCTCTGTAGTGAGAAGGCCACTTGTTTGTTCCCAGGTACTCAGCCCCTAAATAATCACACAGAAACTATATTATTTAAATCACTGCTTGGCCCACTAACTCTAGCTTCTTATTGGCTAACTCTTACATATTAATTTAACCCATCTCCATTTATCTGTGTATCTCCATGTGACTTTGGCTTACTGGGTAAAATTCTGTCCTGTCTGTCTCCGCCAGCGGCTCCATGGCTTTTCCCTGAACTCTGTCTCCTTTCTCCCAACATTCAATTTAGTTTTCCCCACTTACCTCTATTCCCTACACAGGCACAAGGCAGTTTCTTTATTAACCAATGATATTCATAGCATACGCATCACCTCTCAAACACTAGCTTCCATTATATAAAGGGAAGGAAAGAAATATGTTTGAGAGTCAATTTTTAAGGGAAATAAGCATAATGAGTGGTACAATAATGCTCATGTGACCTTTCTAACAGTGTGCCCGACGGTTTCAGCCCTGGGGCCTTCTTTCTCTTTGGAGTGACCATCTCACTAATGTTGGTATGCTCAAGTACCAGTTCCTCAGAGGCACTTTCTCCTAAATTAGCTCATACTCATCAATACTACTGTCTGTCACTACTATCTCTTATATAACATACAACTTTTCTTTATCTGACATGCAGCCTATGTTGATTACCTGCTACTCATAGAATAAAAATTCCATGAGGCTAGAAACTTGGTATGCTTATATACTGCTTAATAAGAAGTTCTAGAATACAGACTGTGACAAATTAGGTGCTTGACAATTAATAAATGAATAAAATAAAGAGATGACTAATAATCATCTAGGGTCAGGTCACTGTAAGAGCTACAATAAATATAATCTTTTCATACTCAATTTTTTCATTAGACAGAAGATTTACAAATCAATGATAAATGACTAAATTTCATTTCGCTCAAAAAATTTAAAATGACATGGAAATAGAAGTATTTTTATGTGTGTTCATGTTGGATGTCTCTAGTTCCTTGAAAAAAGGTTAGGGGAAGACAAGATCAGACATCAGAAGTGTAGGAATAGGTTGTATATAGCAAATGTCAAAAAGAATAAGGGTCTATACAGACTGATTTCTATTCATGGTTCTTTCCTTGTCCAAGGTTTCAGTAACAGCAGATGCCAGCAGGAAACCCTTGCCAGACAAACAGGATCACAAGGCATCGTTGGACTCAATGCTTGGGGGTTTGGAACAGGAACTGCAAGATCTTGGGATTGCCACCGTGCCCAAGGGCCACTGTGCTTCCTGCGAAAAGCCAATTGCTGGGAAGGTGGGGTGATCCAGATGTTGGTCCAATCAGTCTGTGTCTGTGGGTGTCCAAGAATGGCTTTTATCTTTGTATTCTAAGATATTTTAAGAATTGTTAACAATCACTGACTACTTATATTATTCTGGACCCCGAGTTAAGTGCTCTATTAGTATTCCCACATTTAATAGTTTAATCAATCTTTTAAGGAGATTTTATTATCATATCTTTTGCAAAAACAAGGAGGTCAAGCGCTCAGAGACATTGCTTGGAAAGAACAAGGTCTAGAAAGAAAGAAGCAGAGGGAACATTTGAGTCCAAGATGGTCTAACTTCTGAGTTTGAATTCCTAATCACTTTTATTTACTGCCATTTCTGAGATGACCTTTCACACTGCTTTCTTTTCTCTCTTTCTCTCTTCAGACATTTCTGGACTTACATTTACTCATTGCATTTTCAGCTAAATGAAATTGAGATATGACTCTTTAAACAGAGATACTAGCTCTGAACCATTATTGCCAAATCCACAGGGCAGGGTTTTCCTATTTGATTCTGGAAGGTTGCGAGGCAAGGTGTGCAGAGGCTCAGAGCTGAGAAGTAAATTCTTCTTGGCTTTTTGATTAATCAGCATGGCAGGTTCCTTTTACTATTCTTTAAGCATGGTTGCAGATGTCCTTAGTGTAACCTAGGTCTTGGCCTTGTATGTAACTCAGGAGGTGTTGTCTACCTGGAATGCAGCTTGCAGAGTGCCCTCTAGAGGTGCATTCTGCTGCACTGCCATGCCAGGCTCTGTGATATCCCTAGGTGATCCATGCTCTGGGGCAATCCTGGCACCCGGAGCACTTCATTTGCAATCACTGCAAGGAGGAGATTGGCTCCAGTCCCTTCTTTGAAAGGAATGGCTTGGCCTACTGTTCCAAGGACTATCACCTCCTGTTCTCGCCACGTTGTGCCTACTGTGCTGCTCCCATCATGGATGTGAGTAATTCCCCAGCCCTGTCAGCTTTCATGTAGTATCTGATTACTCATTAAGAGCACTGATCATGTTTTACAACTCTGAAGCCTTCTAATATCTCTCCATGTGTCCCATTTCCAGAAAGTGCTGACAGCAATGAACCAGACATGGCACCCAGAGCACTTCTTTTGCTCTCACTGTGGAGAGGTGTTTGGTGCAGAAGGTAGGTGGGAGGCTACGACTCCAGGCTGAGAGATGGGAAGGCCAGCAGCACTCTTCCTTGGAACTGCTGTCTGTTTAGTTCTGTTCTCAGCACTGCCACTTAGAAGTCAATTTCATGCCTAGATGTTGTCTCTCTACTTTTCCCTATCATTCCTAGTTTTGGTTTAAATTGATTTTTTTAAAAAAAATTAGAGAAGTGGAAATTCATCATTTAAAAACAGATTATGCCTCTGGAGATGGCTTGGCAGGTGAAGCCCTTGCTGCACATATATTAAGAAGACCTGAATCTGCTTAAAAGCTAGGCCTGGTAGCACAAGTGTGACACACAAGTGAACAGACTGTGACACCAGTGTGTTCCTACCAAAAATGTGACAGATAGGACAATCTTTAGAAACTTGCAGACCAGCTAGCCTAATGCACACAGTGCAGACAAAAGAGACTGTCTCAAACATGGAAGGAAAGGACTGCCACCAGGAGTTGTCATTACCTCTACACATGAATTATGGCACATGTAACAAACATGCAAACACACATATATACCCCCCTCCCACACACAGTGTGTCACTTACAAGTATAAACCAATTTTTTCCACTTGGAATTAAAATTTGAGTTGCTTTCTTCTAGCTTAGTTTACACTATACTTGCCACTAATTTACCTCATAGAACCATAAAATCCTTATCAAACTAGTCAGCTGCATCTGCTAATAAGCCTGCTCCATTTTATCTTATTGATGATTTGGCAAGAGAGGCTAACCCTCCTGCTCTAACCTGAAATGGTTTCTTCCTGCTAAGTAGCAGTAATTTTAGTTCTTTCCCCCAAATTATCCCTGGAATCTGCTGTTACTACCTTTCTCTTTAGATCCTCTATTTCCTGGACCCCATTTCTCCTTTCTTTGAGTGTGTTTTGATAACTTTCTGCATGTATAATGGGCATTCTGATTACTGTAACTTCCCTCTCTAACCTCCCGTCTACCTGATTTTACCTCCTTCTTCCTCCTGATAAGTACCCTTTCCACACTTTTTGTTGTTGTTGATTTTTTTTTAGTCTGATTGTTGAGACTCACTGTGTTTAACCAGGTGGGAGAGTTTCAATGGTAGAGAAGTCGTCAACTTGTCAGCCATTCCTAATTTGCCTTTCCCCATTCCCAGTGGAGAACTCAACCTATTTCTTAGGTATGCTAGAGCACCCAGAGTCTCCACTAGATAGTTTCAAATAGTCCCTGTGTTTTGTGACAGTATGGGGCATCAGATCATCCAATAGCTTTTCACACTTGAGCCAGTCCTGCCTAAACTTGAGATGCACTTTGAATTCAGGTACTTCGAGAGCTCATGCTGATGACCCCAGCAGTGAAAGTGGATATCCCTTTCAACTTTAGTTCTGTCCTGTTAGAGGCCACTCTTGTAATTATATTATAAAAACAAACAAAGCAGCAACCACCAAAAAATCCTCATTGTTATTTCATAGTGTCATCTCCTTTCTTTTTCTCATTTTCTTTGTGATTCTTTCATAATTTAAATAATTTCCTACATGTTTATATTCTGTCACTGCCCTTGAGTTGCCTCAACATAGAATTCTATAGGAATTGTATATTAATATACAGTGGGAAATGTTTGCATTCCTAATTCTTAGGACTGTGTTCAGCTTCCATAATTGAGAAGTTTCCATTAAGCCTTTATTTTCATTTTGTATACTACCCAAATTTTTTATTGCATTTTTATTTTGTCTGTGAATGTGAGCATAGCATGTTATACAATGGAGGTTAGCAAACAGGGCGAGTCAGTTCTCTCCTTCTGCCTTGTGGGTCCCAATGAATGTAGGTCCTCAGGCTTGGTGATAAGTTCCTTTACCCACTGAACCATCTCACCAGCCCTGTTTTATCTTCTGTATGTGACCCATTATAACAGTTTGCAAGGATTTATTTTCTGAATTATCCTGACATGTTGTCCCCCTTTTACTGTTCATTTTGGTTTTGGGGCAGTGGAGTGTTGTGTTGCTTGGGCTGGTTTGAGGTTTACTATTTAGGTGATGATGACTCCCAGTTTCTTCTCTACCCCTCCCAGGAACACACATGCATGTGGATGCTATAAGGAAACCTTAGGTATTATTCCTCAGTGCCATATGTGTGTGTGAGTGACTGAGAAAAGGCCTGAAGCTTGCCAAGTAGGATTGACTGTCTTTGGAGACCCATGATACCAACAGTCTCCCAAGTTGTGAATTACAAATGTGTGTCACTATGTCCAGTTTATTTATTTATTTGTTTGTTGTTTGCTTGTCTATTTACTTATTTGGTGGGTTCTTGGTACAGGAGAATTGTCTGTATTCTGTCAATCATATTTTAATAAAACACTGATTGGCCAGGCAGGAAGTATAGGTGGGTAAACCAGACAGGAAGTAGAACAGGAGAATGCTGGGAAGGAGGAAGCCCATTCCTCCCATTCCTGCCCAGACCACTGAAGAAGCAACATGTGAGCTGACAGCTGAAAAAGGTACCAAGCCATATGGCTAACATAGATCAGAATACTGTGTTGATACAAACGACAAGAGTTAACAAGAAGCCTGAGCTAATGGGCCAATCAGTTTTATAATCTTATGAAGTCCTCTGTATGATTTTCTTTGGGGTATGCCAGCTGTGGGGTGCCGGGTGGGACAGATACACCAACCAGCCGGCCCCTCATGTTACAGGTTCTGTCTGGGGATCTAACACAGTTCCTTGTCTTGTGTTTACAAGGCAATCACTTAATTGACTGAGATATCAGTCCAAAAACTAGAAGGTTGAAGGGATGGAAAGAATTTTAACTCAGATCTCATTTCTGTAAGTGCCACATCACACTTTTGTTAACATATTCTAACTACTCTTTGACAGAGATTTAATTCTCTTGTTGCTAAGTCTCCTTACCTTCTCAGTACCAACTTATACTTTACTGGGCAATAGAGGCAGACATGATAGCACTGATATAAGGTATTAACAAAGTTCTTTGTAGTGATTTGCTGTCCATTGGAGCTTGTTCAATGCACTTAATACATCAAAAATGATACATATTTGCCTGTATCAGTAGCAATAGAAATATGAAAATTAATTAGATTAAATTAATAAATAGCCATTAAATAAATACTGTCTGTTGCAGAATTCTTTGCCCTAAGCATAACAGCCATCCTCTTCATCTGAGCAGGGGTGGCTACCTGCATGAGACCTTCATTGGTCTTATTGACTATAGATATTCCTTCATAGAAAAAGGGGCTAACTGGCCAACTGAATATGATTCCGCTCTAGTGTGGTACATGGTCTCATGTTCTTGAGAGGTGCTAGAGCATGCAGCGTATTTAAGGTTACTGGAAGAGGAAACTCTGTCTATGTAGCTGTAGCAAAGTTGTTATCAATGTTCAGGGAGGCTATTTGGTGGTGTGGCTTTGGGTTACCCATATTCTATAAACACAATGAACTCAGTGATTCCCTAAGTTGGACTTTTGTGAAATCATACTTTGGCTTATCTTTGATGACCTATAAGGAGAGGGCAGAGAGCACTATCTATTGATAATTATGTTGTAGAAATTGCCTGGAAACAGGAAAGGGCATATTTGAAGAACAGCCATAGTTGCATGCAAAAGAATGCCCAACCCTTAGGATAACTGAAAAGCATTTCATTGTTCTTGAGTTGGGCTCCTCCTAATTTCATGGTTCACTGGCTCCTTATGATATGAAATAAACATGAAATTACACCGAAAACATATGTTAATAGAGGCACATGGCAATGGAGCCATTTACTAGTTAGAAGTTCCTCTTGGGTGATAGTCATGTTCTTTTTCCTGGCTTTTTCATAAATGGGTCCACTGTCATATGATCAGTTCATTAATTAGATAGCATCCTGACTTTTATTCCAGGACACAGACACATATAGAGTTTTGATAATAACAGTTAAACCATGGAGCCTCCTGGGAAATTAAATTCATCTGTATTTTTCTTCAGTTCAGAGAATCTCTCTTCTAAGACTAAAGTTTTTAAATGCATTGTCCCTTAGCATTTTTCCTAGGGAACTATGTCCTCAGTGCTTCCCATCATTCTTTTTAATTGTTCATTATCTCGGCCATGCAGGTGCTCTTTAATTTCCCCTGTGGCTAAGAGATACTGGAGTGAAAACACTCTCCCATCTCTCTGTGGTAACTTTTAATTGTCAGTGTCTCTCATTCATTCTCTTGAGGTAATTGGCCCCTGAGCGAGCCTTCAGGACAGTGCTGAAACTTTCCCAATTTATGGGGTTACTAAGTATAGAAACATTATAGCAAGTTTGGTGGATGAATTGCTTTGATTCCCCTCCTGAGACTCACCCAAGTAGAAATGCAGGCTGCTACTCCGCTACTGTCTCACCCTGAAGACCACCTGCTCTGCAGATTCCTAAATGGGGTTCATACCTAGGTTAGGTGGCATGTCTTGCGGTTTTCTTAAGAAATACCAACTTACATCACTTGGGGGCATGTTAAGAATGCAAAATCTTTAGTACCATAAATAAAAAAATTGGGGGTGGCGAGGGTAGGGAGGACCTAGCATTCTGTGTTTTAACAAATTTTCAGGTGAGACAGACCTGCTAGAGTAAAAAAGAATGCTGTTTTACCCCCAAAAGATACCTGTGGGCATTTCTTTCCTGAAGTACGATGATTGTGGTGTGGGATTGACATTCACTTTCCCTTAAACAGACTCTAGAAATCTTCTGAATGGGTCAGAAAAGAAAAAGAGAAAAGTAAAGTAAGCTTTCTGAGTGTGTGGGGTTCAGAAGAATAACACAGGACAGGTATAAAATTGCTAGGTTGAATTCTTAGATCCCTAGGCCTTACAATTTTGACAACTTACCCATGTTTGTTTTAGAGAAAACATAATTGAGTGAAGCAAGCTCTATCAAACAGTGACAAGAACAAAAGGCAGAAAGAACAGCCATGTAATTTAGGTCCTACCCTGATATCCTATTACAGTTTTGTGATCTGGCTACTATGATCACAGGACCTTTCTAGAATATTCCTGGCATAGACAGCTTGAACAAACTGCTAAACACACTTTGTTTCATGTCTCTAGGCTGGTGAGGCACAGGGTGGCTTCTCATGTGTATACAGTTTCGGTTAGGATATTCGCACTTAGTTGACCTATCAGTTTCCATGGAAAGGTCAAGTTTTGAATGCATTTAAGTTAGGGGTGGGATGTGAGTTTTATCTCCTTCACTGACTAGTTAACTATGGATAACTTATCAAAGTTAATTACTATTTAGTGTTATCTTATTTTAAAGTATTTTAAATATTGTGTGTGTGGGGGGTTAATGGTAGCAAGACCAGTGGTATCTAGTTTCTCTCAGAGCTAATTTTCAGTGAGGGAAGATAGCCTATAACAATGATTTAAGATAAAATAAGTGCTATGAAGACAGATGGATTGACAGAGAAGGGCTGGGTTGATGCCAAAAGAAAAGGTGACCTTTAGAGCTGAATTACAGTTGTTCAGTGGCAGGAATAGAACTTCAGGCTAAGGAAACACTTTGTATCAAGGTGTTAAGGAGAAATAACCCCTAGTACTTAGACTGTGATCCATGTTCAATGCTAAAAGGCACCTACATTGTCTCCTTTTGAACATAGGGATACTGAAGTTGGGAGAGGTTGCAATAATGATCTTGTCTATGCTTCTAATGTAGCTTTAAAGGACTCAAAGACTAAAACTATGAATCTTTGATTTTATCTTTTCAGGTTTTCATGAGAAGGACAAGAAGCCATATTGCCGAAAAGATTTCTTAGCCATGTTCTCACCTAAGTGTGGTGGCTGCAACCGCCCAGTGTTGGAAAACTATCTTTCAGCAATGAACACTGTCTGGCACCCAGAGTGCTTTGTGTGTGGGGTTTGTATGCTCAATTACCTTCAGTTTTAGGGAAAATCCAAGCGTATTCTTCCCTGAGAGGACTAGCTGCTCTATTTTATAGTGAGATAGTTTCTAGTCTAGAGTGAGGAATCCATATTAGTTTATTTATTTGTTTATAAAGAAAAATGGGGCTTTTGCTGGTCTGCTTTGCAAATGTGTAAATCTAGCCTCTGTTTGTCAAGGACCAGAGATAAATCCTACAAATGTCAGGTAACTGTCAAGAATTTTGAAGATGAACATCTTATTTAGTGGCATTATCTCTTGATGTGCATTTCTTTTGTCTGTGTTCACTCCATCCTCAGGACTGCTTCAGCAGTTTTTCTTCAGGCTCCTTCTTTGAACTGGATGGCCGTCCATTCTGTGAACTCCATTACCATCAGCGCCGAGGGACCCTCTGCCATGGCTGCGGGCAGCCCATTACTGGTCGCTGCATCAGTGCCATGGGGCACAAGTTTCATCCTGAGCACTTCGTGTGTGCTTTCTGCTTGACACAGCTGTCCAAAGGCATCTTCAGAGAGCAGAACAACAAGACCTACTGCCATCTCTGCTTCAATAAGCTCTTTCCACAGTAGTTCCCTTTGATCCGCCATCCACTTCATGTTGCCCGAGACCAAGGCAGGGAAGAGCACACTTTGTTTCCCTGACCTTCACTCAGTGGGCTAGTAGAGTACAAAAAATGAGCAAATAGGGGAATTTCTGCAAGTTAATAGGCCTATAATCTTATTTTTGAAGATATTTCTTATTATGTGTTTGCATTTAGATCTAGACCATGCTATCAAGGCCCTCTGAAGATATATTTCTCATGTGCACAATTCATTCCACCTCTGGTTTTCTGTTTTTCTCCTTTTGCCTCTACTGATGCCCCACTCAGACCTTCAGCTGTGGACCCCAGAATCTGACTTTTTCTTTTCTCTTAGGAGTCATGACTCTACTCTTAAGCCCTTATAGTGCCTTCCCTCAATATTTGCTATTTTAAGAGGAAGTGTATTTTAACTGACATCTGTGTGAATAAAGCAGCTTGTGGTTTTGGTGACTCACTGTCATATTCATGTGATAGACAAATGTTTTGCTTCCTATATTATAGAACACCAGGTCCTATTTGCAGCTAAATTTGTACCCCCTTTCTTCTTTCCCTGCATATAGCAGTGTAAACACTTTTTAAACAGAAAAAGCTAAAAGATGAGACCTCTTGTTTCTAACTCTTCTCTTTAGTTTGGGCCTTTATCCATTTTACTTTTCAGACTGAAATCTTTGAATAATTACAAGGTAACAAGTCTTTTAGAATCTGTCTTCACTGTTTTTTTTTTATCTAAAAAGATCTGGTTTCCCATTAAATGCATTTCAAAAATGAAAAATGAAGGATGTGTCTCTTTCAAACTCAAAACTACCTGATGGAGACAAATGACAAATGTCTGTGCATATGATGGTCTTTTAGTTTGGACAAGAAAGCTAAGCCACAAACATTAATAAATGTTTTTTTCAAAACACTTTAGGTTAATTTATAGAAAACTTTGCAAGCTACTGAAGAATCTGACCTTTTTTTTTAAGATCCTATTGGTTTGTTTACAGAGTAGGCTGCACACAGAGCCATGATTCTGTGAGTGAGGCGCTCATTAGGCACTGTGTGCTTTATTTTCTTACCAGAGACTTCAAAAATAATTCTTTGATTATTTAGTTATATCAGAAATCATGGTTTTTTTTTTTGGAATCTTAGATGCTGAGATTACAGGCAGACCCTCTTTCACTGAAAGGTTCTCCCTCCCATAAAAAACCTTAGGAACAAATGTGTTGTTTTTAGGTTGGTATGAGAATAGTACTTCTTACAGGTTAAAATGGACTAAGTGATTCTTGTCAAGATTCATTATATTCTCCTTTTCTAGGATGAATAAAAAGGGAGTTTTGAAAGTTCAAAAGCAGTAGTGACAGCTAGTTCTATGAAATAGGAACTTATGTGGGAGGCCACAAAGATATGGAGCCATCTGGCTTTTTGTTTGGTTGGATGAACATAGCAGATGAAACACTTTCAGCTTCTCAGTGTCTTTTTCACTTTACCTCCACTGATGGCATCAAAACAGGTGTGAATGAGGCAGTGTTCACAGTAACTTTGGCACTTTGACAAAATGAACTTGAGGTTTCAGTGCAAAGTAAAAAAAAAATGTTCAGGTGCAGAATGCTTTTGTTTGTTTGAAGAACTGCCATGTTGAGATCTTTTACAATGTAAATATTTAAAAATATCAGAGAGTTGTCAGAACTCACAAGCATTCAATTAAGAATGAAAGTATCCTCCTTTTACAGTAGAGGTAGTTATGTTTGCTCCAGAAGAGATGCTGCCTCAAGACTCAACCTTTTAACAAGAAAACAACCCTCAGGTAAATGTTCTCCTTAAGAAGCACCTGCCGACACCTAAATACATTATTTAAACTTACCACCTAACTTCTTTTCTTGGTTATAAGTAACTCCTAAGTATTCAAAAACATAAAACCCTTCTCCAAAGCAGTAGTTCTCCATCCTTGGCTATATGTATACAGAAAAGAAGTTTATTTTAGAACCCTGCTGTTGAGGAGTTCCCACCTGGCCCACTATTCTGTGAAATATTGAGTTCTCCAGGGTGATGCTTGGACAGACACAGTTGCTTTGCCTTATAAGTTTGGTCATGTGTTCCTCTCATGGTATGTGATGCCTGTTCAATGTGTGTTCCTGTGTTTATTACATATATGGGGAGCAAAGGTTTATTTTCTAGCTCTTATAAACAAAACTACAGTGAGTCATCCTAACTAGACTAGCATAGGTCACATTTCTATTAGTGACTATGCATTTATCCAAATTGTTGGGGGAATGGATTGTGTAGTTTGGCATAGGAGATACTGGAATCCTTCACAGAATAGAGGCCAGATGGATTAAGAGTTCTAAAATACACAGACTTTATGAAGGTTATGGGAACACCCAAAAACCTGGGTGTTATTGATTAGTCTCAAACTTATATTTTCAAAGTGAACATTTCCTTTCAGATGCCAGTGGATCCAAGTCTCAGATGGTTCTCCTCGTGGTGAGCACTCTCATTTCTAAATGACCTAAGAGGAATCTATCTACCATATAATTTCCTCAAAATGGATTCTTACCTGAAATGATCTAATTTCTTAATCTCTTTCTTCATTATCCCAGTGTTAAATTGATTTATTAGAATTTTTTCTCACTTCATTAAATACACATTCCAGGAAAACAAAACAAAATGAAAAACGAAAACAAAAAAACCACAAAGTGAACACTTTAAAGATCTTAGTTTCATAGAATTTCAAAACAAGCAAGTACGTGTGTTGCTTATTCCTTGATGGTTCGGAAACAAAGGAAGCGAAGTATGATGGTGCCATGAGAAGTACATGGCAGAGGTACTGATTGCTTATAGGAACACAGCAGTAAGAAGCATCACAGGCTGGGAAGAGGCTCATTGTTTGCTACTCAAGCATGAGGACCTGGGTCCCATCCCTGGAATCCATATAAAGAGCCAGGTGTTGCCGATGTACACTTGTGATCCCAGTGTTGGGAAATAGCAGAGATAATAGATTTATGGGGTTCTAAAGGTAGTTAGTGTGACTCAAATGGTGAGAGGCCATCTTGAAAAATAATACATAAGCACATAATACAACCTGTACATATATATATACCCTGCCTCCCCGTCCCCGCCACCATACACAATGTCCACACAAAAGAAACTCCAAGAACAGATTTGGGTTAGGAATGTGAAGACAAAAAACAAAACTTCGAGCTGAAATAAAGATGAATTGCATAGCATGCTCAGTGCTCTAGGTTTGATACCCACAACTATAAAAACAAAACAAACACATATTTAAAGATGAGGAGTGATTTCTTTTTTTCTCTTTTGTTTTTTCATATCAGGGTTTCTCTGTAGCTCTGGAGTCTGTCCTGGAACTAGTTCTAGACCAGGCTGGCCTTGAGCCTCCTGAGTGCTGGAATTAAAGGCATACACCACCACTGCCCAGTGAGAAGTGACTTTTTTTTTAACTTGTGTTGCCAGATTTTATTTTTATTTCTTTTTTAAATTGATTTTTATTGAGCTCTACATTTTTCTCTGCTCCCCTCCCTGCCTCTCCCCTCCCTTTCAACCCTCTCCTAAGGTCCCCATGCTCCAATTTACTCAGGAGTGTTTTCTTTTGAAGATAAGTTAAAAGCCAGTCTTCAGTAAGGCCAAAAGCAAGACTCACTAAAATACAAGAATGGAAAAGCTTCTGTCTGTTCCCAAGACAGAGAAAGTTTGTACGAGATAGAACTTGCCACTAGTACAGCAGCTAAGCACTGGGATGCTAGAACTCAAAGGGAGGTTGAAGTCTATTGAGAGCCATAGGACTGATAAATTTTGGACGAGAGGCAGGACTTCAGTTGTGCGTTCCACACAACTTAGAATGTATCTGGTAGGCATCAAGGACTCAAACCTATTCTGTTAGAAATGAGACAGTTTGTGTGGGAGGTTTCCTGCCCCAGATAGGAAAACCATACAGTATCTAAATAAAATCATGTGGGAAGATAGTCCCTACATTCATGATTCTGGAAAACTGCATAGATTTTCTTGATGAAGTAAGTCCATCTTCCCTTCCTATCTTAACACCGAATCTTTAACAAGATTTAATATTTTTAACAAGATTTCATATTTTTGCTTGGAATAATTGCCCAATTTCAGTTAGAGCTATTTCAGATCACAGGTGCTGGACAAATATTGTCAGAAATGTACACACAAAACTCAAAGAGAGGTTTGCTCTCTTTATACTTTAATTCAGAGGGGAATTTGACTTTAGACTGTAATGCATTTGTACTTTGAAGTGTTGTGGCGAGTAAGAGAATTGAAGATAGGGATGAGAAATCAAGTAGAATTAAGATATTTTTTTGCTTGTGTTTTAGCTTTCCTTGACCAAAATCTTCAGTTTAGTTTGTTTATAAGGAACCACAACCCCCACTTTAGGTACATGTAGTTTAGGGATGATTGAACTCATCTTCTGCTTGTGGAGTGGACCAGTCTCAAGTTTGACCAGTAAAGGTACTGCATTAGTACATTTTGTCTTTGCTGTCTGTGGTGAAATACTTGACAAGAACAACTTAGAGGGAAGCAGGGTCTATTTTTGACTCATAATTTGAAGGTATAGTCTGTCTTAATGGTGAAGGCATAGCAGCAGGAGGATGAAGCTGCTTGTTCATATCTGGGTAGATCAGGCAGCAGAAAAAGAGGAATGCATGTTCTCAGCCTGTGTTCTCCATTTCCTTTTTCATTATTTCTTAGACTCTAGCCTATAGAATAGTGAGGTCTACATTTAGTGTGGGCCACCCCACTAGTTAATTCCCTCTGTCAAAGCCTTCAAAAGAAACCCTTGGTGTTTTCTAATTCAGTCAGGTTGATGATATAAATTAATTGCTGTTCCCCTCTACCGAGAATTTGCTCAGATAGACATGTGACTCCATAGTGACCTACTGACTTGAGAAAGAAGAGTTCCCACCTGTTTGAAGTGCTAGTTGTGAGAATAATATACCTCTTAATCTCACTCCTCCCACTCTTCATCTGGGCTTTGGGAGCTCAGCCCAGTGCTCCACTACGGGTCTCTGCCTCTGTTTTCATGAGTTTCTGGATGAAGGTTCTATGGTGATATTTAAGACATTCATGAATTTCACTACAGGAAAAGGCCAATTTGGGTACCCTCTCCTCTATTGCTTAGCGTCTTAGCTGGGGCCATCCTTGTGGATTCCTGGGAATTTCTCTAGTGCCAGGCTTCTTTCTAGCCTCATAATGGCTTCCTCAATCAAAATATCTCTTTTTCTCATCTCTGTCCTTACTCCATCTCAACTATCCCATTCCCTCAAGTTCTCCTCCCCACTTCCCATCTCCCCTCCTTTTCCCCTTCCACCCTCTCTCCTTCCCCCCACCCCCATGCTCCAAATTTTGTCAGGCGATCTTGACTATTTCCCCTTTCAAGGTTGATCTATATATGTTTTTCTTAGGGTTCACCTTGTTACTTAGCTTCTCTAGGATCA